GGACTTGCTGATCAAAGCCCGCGCAAATATGCAAAAGGCTCAGATCCGCATGCAGCAGCAAGCTAACCGACGTCGACTTCCATGTCCTTTCCGTGAGGGAGACCGTGTTTGGGTCCTCTCGGAGGAATTTGCGCTTGAGCAGGATGTTTCGCGCAAACTCCTTCCGAAATGGTTCAGACCATGGGAAGTCACTTCTGCCGTTGGAGACGACCTCACAGGTCCTTCCTTCGTGATCAACATTCCACCGCACCTAACAGTGCATCAGGTCTTCCACGCATCGAAACTGGCCATCTACACGCCACCTTCAAATGACGAGTTTCCTGGACGTCGATCACAGGATCCGCCCTCCATGGACGGACATCAAGAAGTGGACCGAGTCCTCGCGCACCGCAAGTATGGCAACAAGCCAAGGCAGTACAAAGTCACATTCAAGCAATGTGCGCCGGATGACACTCGGTGGATCTCCAGTACAGATTTGCAGACCTCTGCACCCCTTATCTTCGCCGACTATGAGAAGCGACGCCTCGCTAAGGACGCAGCTCGTCCCGCCCGACCCATCCCGGTACCGGACAGACAACTTCGCCCTCGCAGGTAGCTCGGTCCTTTAAGAGGGGGAGTGTGTTACATCTTCGACGCCACACGGGTCCTACCGGACCCGACTTAGGACTAGAGGGACACACCAGGGCCTAAAGGCCCGACCTTGGGGTACTACAGGCCATCAAAGGCCTCACCTTGGACCAGACCCGACGGGCAGGCCCAAACGACATTACCGTTTGGGCCTGGCGGCGCTCTTGAGGCTGCCGCCCGCCGGTTGGGGCTGAACCGTCCATCTGGATGGTTCAGGGCACGGCCAGGCCTTGCAGCAGTGAGGCCGGCCTCTGCCCACCGGTATAAAGAACCGGTCCGGCCTCACTTCGAGGCATCGAACCACCGGCACTCTACCGGTGCGTTGTGGTCAGCGCCAGAGCGCTGTTTTGATGCGCTAAGTTTAGCGCAGGAGCGAGCAAGGAGCAGCAGCGGCAGCGCAGCATTAGCGCAGCGGCAAGCGGAGCAGCAGCAGGGCGACTGAGCGAGCAAGGAGCAGCAGCGGCAGCGCAGCATTAGCGCAGCGGCAAGCGGAGCAGCAGCAGGGCGACTGAGCCAGCACGGCGGCCATTGCCGCCTGAGGTACCTGGGAGCGGAGGACCTCTTCTTCTTCTTCCTCAGACTAGAGACTTATACTAGTTGGACAGAGATCAGAGTTGGACTTCGGTGATATGAGACTGTGGTACTTACCTGATTGGAGACTTGGAGATTGTTGAGGTTGATACTCGGCTGCATCACAGTTGGACACCGGTTACATCTGGACTCTGTATCTCCAACATTGGTGACCTATGGGCCTCGACATTTTGATCCTGTTGTATGACATTTTGGACTACCATATCGGAGACCTATCAGACTCTATCTATCGGTGTTGTCTACCTCCCCACCTCCTTCGTCTCTCCTCCCACCTTTCATCTGTGAATGCGTGTAAGGGATCTGGGCATCGTCTATGAATGGCCCATACCCCACCATCTCACGATTGTATGTGTGTGGAGTGATGCTATGTGAGTCAGCCCGTTTATCAGACTTCCGCTGCATATATGCTCATCCTACATTGGTTGATCTTTGGTTCTGCCCATACTCATTGAAGTATGCAACACCTAAGGTATGTAGATATACCGGTGGTACCGAAGGCAGACAATTGATGTTAAGAATTGAAGGATTCAAAAGCCTGGTATGTCAAACTTTGTCAGCTCATAAAAGACTCTTTTGGAGATTTCTAAGCATCATCAACGTCATCGGCATCTTCCTCTTGAATTTTGTTTTCCCATCATCGCCGTCATAACACAATCATCGTCATCTTCCCATGATTCCCTAACTGACAGCCAACATAGTACCATACAGGTATAAGAAGCTATTAAGAACAATAAATCAAACCTAAGAATTACGCAGACAGAAGGACAATGCAGTGGTTAACAACTTAACACTGATTACGATTAGTACGAGCGAAGTTTTCAAGTCAACTAGAAAACATCTTTCCCATCATATTCATCTCTTAGCTGACAACGCCTGACAGCCAATCAATCTCCGGCAAATAATTTGAAGCGTAAGAATCCTAGACTACCCTCGCCCCTCGAACACACAACACACCCTTACAATGTCGGGGGTTTTCGCCGCATCGCTACAAGCAATGTTGTCGAAACTTTTGCGAACAAACTATGCAGGGTCATAATACAAACATTTAAAAAACAATCAGGCAAAAAAAAAAACGAAAAAATCAAAATCAAGAGTACTATAAAACCCTTTTCGGAGTAGCTTTCGGAGTTCGCCCAAGCCTTTTTTGAGTCTGGTGTTTTTGCTAAGTTTTTTGTTACTGCTCCAAATACGGCGAAACTGAATACAGACATACCCTAAAGCACATACATGACAGGCAAAAAGAAAAACCGAGAAAAAAGTAAAAATTCAGGGAAATATGGAAGTTTCAGTGAAAAATTCGCCAAAATTTCGCCGAATTTTGGGCCTTCCATTAACCGCTTCTCAGACGGAAGTACAAGGGGCAACTCCACGTTTTTGTATTTTGGGTTTTCCCCCTTCCGTATAGTTGGCAACCATATTGTAGAGCACAGGCCAACACTTAGCCAAAGTAGTTGACAGGAGGAGGGTGCGGCATTACAAAGAAAAAAAGAGAAGGGGATACAAGGGCATCCCGCTTTAGTGACGAAGAGAGAGAAATGAAACTGGAACATACAGGATTTGGAATGCCAGGTGGAAGGAGCACATTTTAGTAATTCCAATAGCTGATTATTACTTAGCAAGGAGCTTTTTTTTTTTTTTTTTACCAACAACAAAGCCCCTTCAATTCTGCCGGGGGGAAGAGAGAGGGGATTCAGTCCGGTTACTTATCACGGGCAAGCAAGTTTTGTACATCCATCCAAGGGAGAGGGGAGAACAGACAAAATGGAAAGCAATGATCCGCCCTATGCTTACTAGCAGCACCCAGTCATACAACAGATCAAAACCCAGAGAGGCCTGGCACAAGGAAGGCATCTGTGGCAGTTCCTCAAGTCGCCTGTCAACCTACTGATTCCATGACTCTAAGGCAGGAAAGTACTACTGAATTGTACTGATTCAGTACTCTTATATCCCTTTATAACCGCTACAATCCCTCTTACCCGTTCTCTGCTATTGCCCCCAGCATAATCAACGTTATGAAAAAAAAAGAAAAAGAAACATAAAACCATCGATGGTATGAACGAACTAACCTGGTTCAGCCAGCTCATTGTGTGCCCAAACATGTTCCTGCGAGCACAGATCAACATCGGTACCTGTGTTAAGTGCTTAATTTTGTTTATTTATGCTTTCAAGAGCCGATCATATGCATACCACTGTCTTGACTATATACATTGTCTTCACAATTCTTTTCTTATGTGGCCGCATCCCTCTGTTGGGTTATCATACCTCTTGTGTCTGTTTGCTGCCCATTTGCTTTTGTCCGTTCCAGGTTTTATTTGCTAAATCCTACTGCTGCCCATTTCCTTTTCTCAGTTCCATGGGTCTGCTTATTGTGCTACTCTATGTCAATGGTCCAGGTTATACTTTCTAGACAAAACAAGAGAGAGGCTAGGAAGAAAACAAAAGGGGAAAAAAAAAAGGAAAAAAAAAAACAGAACAACTTCAGTTCTTCAGCTGATAAAATTCTCACCAGTTGCCACCATAGTGAAGGACCGGCCAAATCATATACGAGATCACGGGTTCAAACTTCAAATCATGGGTTCAAACTGAAGAAAGGCGTTGCTACACTTCGAGAACAGCCTTCTGTCTTCACCCGTTCTCGCTGCATCTGGACCGAAAGTTGCGCCAAATGCAGCTATAATGACCGGGCGTTCTATTTGGGTGAAGACGGTAGGATACACGTCAGAGAGCGCAAACGGGTAACCGTTACCCGTACCCGACCACACCCAACGGTAACCACCAGGTCACGGGTAGGTGTGGGTGCCCCTTTCCGAAGGGGGCGTTGGTTATGGGCGGGCATTTTTTTTTTTTATTGCAGTTGACGGGTAGGCACAGTTAGCATTTATGGATTGGACGGGTAGGTAGGGCCAGCCAAACATAGGCCCGCGAACCGGTACG